CCTCCGAGCGGGACTCCACCGCCCCTGCGCCCCGCCGCCGGCGCCGGCCCCTTCTTCACCGACCCCTTCTTCCTCATCGAGACCCTGTGCATCATCTGGTTCTCCTTTGAGCTCCTCGTCCGCTTCTTCGCCTGCCCCAGCAAGCCTGAGTTCTCTCGCAACATCATGAACATCATCGACATCGTGGCCATCATCCCCTACTTCATCACTCTGGGCACCGAGCTGGCCCAGCAGCAGCAGCAGAAGCAGCAGCCCGGGAGCGGCAGGAACAAAAGACAGGCGCCGCACGGCCAGACCCAAGGGACCGCCAGCAACAACGGAGGCCAGCAGCAGGCCATGTCCCTGGCCATCCTCAGAGTCATCCGCCTGGTCAGAGTCTTCAGGATCTTCAAGCTCTCCAGGCACTCCAAGGGGCTGCAGATCTTGGGGAAGACTCTCCAGGCCAGCATGAGGGAGCTGGGCCTCCTCATCTTCTTCCTCTTCATCGGGGTGATCCTCTTCTCCAGTGCTGTCTACTTCGCAGAGACCGATGACCCCGACTCCCTGTTCACCAGCATCCCTGATGCTTTTTGGTGGGCGGTGGTGTCCATGACCACCGTGGGCTATGGGGATATGTATCCCATGACAATTGGTGGCAAGATTGTGGGCTCCTTGTGTGCCATCGCAGGTGTGCTGACCATTGCGCTCCCTGTCCCTGTCATCGTGTCCAACTTCAATTACTTCTACCACCGAGAGACTGATCATGAAGAGCAGTGCCAGTACACCCACGTCACCTGTGGCCAGCAGCAGTCACCCTTCTCTGAGCCCAAGAAAGGGGACAGTAATCAGTCTCTCAGCAAATCTGAATTCCTGGAAGCAGAAGACCTGGAGTCCATGAAATATTCCAACTTCATTCCTCCTAACAACCAGGGTTATAAGGAGAAGAAAATGCTGACAGAGGTGTGATCAGTTTTGTTATCCTGGGTCCAGACATGGAGCTGCAAGCTGCTGCACAGCCGTCTTCCCACTAGCAGCTGGATCTATTCAGCATTTACATGCCAGACTGTGAATTGTGATACCGTAAACAGAATGATTGTGATAATGGGCTCTTCTGTCCTGGTTTGCTGTTTCTCGTTACCGTGTGCAGCCAGAAATGTTCTTGCTTTATTCCGTGGAGTGCTAGCTGTCATCCCCCACTCCCTCGTGAATTTCTTTCTCTGTTTTTGAAGACTGCTTTAATCCAATATTTGCTCTGAAACCTAGCCTTTCCACTCCACTAGCAGAGAAGCCCTTGCCACTACTTCAAGCTGAAGGATTTGGCAGGGAGTAAATGGTTAAAGGGGCCATAAACATCTGGCTCAAGCTGTGCCCTTAGTTCCTGTGCCAGCGCAGTGCCCTTGGCTGTGGGATCAGTCACACCTGCCATGCCATTGCCTTTGAATAATGGAAACGCTGTAGCCAGCATCACAGTGAGTTCTGCAGCTGTAGGGGAAAGTCAGCAAGCAGATGCCTGCCTTCTTTGCAACCCTTGGCGCGCTAAAGATCCTTTTGATTTGTGTTTCAAAAAAAGGTGCATAGATCTAAAAGCTGTTTGTTATTTGTGACCATATACCATTTACTGAAAACAGGCTTAAAGAAATCAACAGGCTTGATGAAGATTCTCTGTTTTGAGCTTATTTCAGCCTTATTTATGCCAGTGCCCTGATGTTAATTGGCTTCTATAGTACCAACTTAATCTTCATAGTGGTAAGTGCCTTCTGATGCAAGGCACACATGAGTAAATGCGTTTGTTATCTCTGCAGTTTATCTCCACACAATAGCGTTTAATGAGATGTACTTTATGCTTCAGATATCCAGTTCTGTATTCAGGCATGTGAGAGCAATTGAATCCACTGCGGTTTTACTGAAGCGTTTGTATTGCTGAGGGAAGTTTGCATGTTGGTATTTTGTTGACATGCTGAAAAAAACCCACCACAGACAGCTGCACCTATTCTGTTGAAGATTGCACTGATTTAGCAGGTCACAGGCATAAATTGCCCCAGGGTAAGTGTGTCAACATTTGAGATTGAGATTGGCACGGATACAAACTTCCCTAAACCATCTGCACAAACCCAACAGCACACCCCAGACCTTTCAAATGAGGGGAGAAAGAGCTAGCCTTGAAGAGATGCTGCTGCTGTATTACTGATCTAGCCAGTTCTTTGTATTTCATGGATAGAAGGCACAGCCATGTCTAGGTTTTGCGAGAGCAACTTATGCTAGCAATGCAAAATGCATAGCTTGGCCTGCAGTGCTGGGTTTGCCAAGGGACCAGAGATTTGCACCTTACGGTGTACCTTTTGCTTCCCAGGTATTTTCATTTTTTAAAATCAGCTCTGCCTTACACCTAACTTTAAAATCTTTCAAATGCTGCCAGTGGGTGAGAAGGGGAAATGGATGCTTTCAGATTCTATTGGCAAATTTTCCTGCAAGGAAAAGTCTTTCTTGTTTTAAATCTAAGTGTATATTCTGCATTCACATGTGTGCATGTGTATGAAAGCAAAGGCAGCCATTAATGCCTTGCATCATACTGTATGATATGCATATTAGAATGTACTACATATTGCATGTGACACATGTAATACATAAACCAGACATAATATCATGATGCAAAATATATAGAATACATTTTATGTATATGTATATATTATGCTTTTCAACCATAAGACTAAGAATGCTAAAGGTATATACTTTATGGTCAGAATTGGCTATAGAACTGGTTGTGAGATGGGATCTGTTGGCATCTTCGTTACCCTGCTTGGTTTTCGTCGTCTTGAGATCTGGCTCCATGCCTGGAGTGCTTTTATTGTGGCCTCTCCTCATCAGGGCCCTGATCATACTGTAGAAGTGGTTTGTGTAAATCCTAAAACTGCTGCATTTCTCCAGAGTCCCGTTGTCTTCTCAAAGGTTTTTAATGTACAGGGATCTCCCCTGGGGTCAGCGCACAACCATTATATTAAAACCTCTGCTCTCTCTCTCTCTTAAGTCAGTAGCAAAATGCCACTTGTCTTGGTTACTGCAGGTCAGTCTGGGAGACACAAGTGTGATGTGGTGAGGGCTCTATAGCTGAGAAGAGTTTGCCTGAATACACAGGTGCCTAATTCCTCTTTGGTTCATCGGGACTGAGGCAAAGGTCTGTGAAGGTCTGGGCCTTGGGAGCCATTCTGCATCCCTTGAAGCATGTAACCAGCTGGTGGATGAGTCATCCTGGTGAATAAGTGGGACTGAAGAAGGATCAGCATGGTGGCATCTCTGTTGATTTTGTGTAAAAAAGTTGTCTTGGTCATTGAGTTAATTCAGTAAAAAGCTGCTGTTGTGTTCCTCGGCCACTATAGTGAAATCTTTTCTGTGTGCAAGAGAGTGACTCCTCTTCAAATTTTGTGTTGCTCTAGCAGATGCACTAGAAACTAGCAAAAGAACTTGTTATTTAAGAGGGAAGTTGCAAGGCTCCCAGCAGAATGTCCATGTTTGGGGTTATTTTATGCCTGAGTGTATCAGCTGATAAAAGTTTCCCCAAAGTAAGATATAAAAAACTCAGGTTGAGCACAAGTTCAGGAGGAGGCATGAGACACACTGAGCCTACGTCAGAAAATTCCCGTGCTTGTTTCTTCCCATGGGCCTGACCCAGTTGCCCCTGCCAGAGAGGAACCCTCCCTGCTCAGAACAGGTTGTTCTCCCCAACAGCATGACAGACAGCTGGGCATAGAGTCTCCGGCAAAAAAAAGATGTGAGTCAAATTACTGGTAGCATAATCCCAATGTGTCTCATAGAGATGCTCTTGTCAAGAGATTTCCCGCTCTCAGGTGAAATTCAGCAGTGAGTTTCTAGCTGGAATGTTGTCAGCACACAGACATGAATGCAGGCACATGTATACATGAAGCACTGGTGTGAAGAAACTTTGTTGGAAATGGAAAGCTTTGTGCATTTTTTTCTGATCCGCGTTTTTCAGTTCTGAAAAGAAAGTGCAAATGGAAATGTGCAAAACAGGAGTGGTGTTTGCGCTCTGGGTTTTCTGTGTTAGAGCTAAGAGAAATACAAAAAGCCAACAGAAGCTTGGAAACTGTAACCTGGGCACTCTCATTTGGGCATGTAAATCATTCTCTAAGTATCTCCTGAAAAGCAAGGCAGTGAAGTCCCAGAGTCATCAATAATACTATATATTATAGAAATTCGGAATTTGATGTTTTTATTAAAGAGCCTTCGGATTTTTTTCAAGTGACTGAAATGACATAGTGGCACCTGTGCCATTGACTTTACAAAGGACTTGTGTCACCAAATCACAGAGATGCTTTCAAAAATCTTACCTCAAGTTCTCAGCTCTTAGCACTCACTCCTGGATGTTCAAAATACAAATCAGTCTGTCTGTCTAGCTGTTTCCTTCTGAAGGCAGAGCGCATCCTCGTGAAGCAAAGTAGGCACCTCCAGGGACTTGTTTCCATAACAACCTCCCAGACTGTTTCTCTCTACCCTGTGACCGTGGCTACAAGCAAAAGCACTCTTTGAATATTTTCAGTTCTCAGATATTAGTACCTTATCTTTACAGCTGTTTTCTTTGCTTACTGAAGATGATCCCATCACCTTATATTATGTACAACTGTCCTGTCCAACTCCAGACAGACAGTTATCAGCATTTGAACACAAAGATGGAAAAGGATTTTATCTGTATATCCTTGCTCACAGAGAGGTGGGGAGTGTATGAAGGACAATTTGAGCACTCACAGTCAAGTTGCTGAGAGGCAACTGGCCTGTGAATCCATCATCTGTGTGTGCGGTGACAAGGAATATGAGCTAAAGCATCACATTAAAAAAAACCAGAAACTTCTCTTTCAACAATCTGGCTAGGAAATAGTTTTGCTGTGGGAGACACTACTGCTCCTTCCTGAACCCTAGCTTGTTTTGTGACGATGAGTTCCCCAGGATGTTTTGCACCAAAGCAGGGCAGGGCAGAAATCATCTTGTTGGAGGTGGGGATGGAAAGAAAGGAAGAATTTTACTGAGGACACCTTTTTTATCCGCAACTCATCAACCACATAAAAGATTGCAAGCATGAAAGCCACAAAGATCTATTCTGTGATATTTCAAAGTCTACATTACTGGTGGATTCCTGCACTTGCTTCCAAGATGAAATACCTGTTTTCCCATTTGGAAAATGTTGCTATTTGGGATTTTTGAGCAATTTTACGTTTTGGCCCTGTTCCTTTTGATCTAGCTTTCATGGATAAAAATTCACTGCTAGAGCAGCTGTGGGGGTGAAGGTGCCTGGACTTTATGTTTTCTCCTAGGCTCTCTCATTCAGTGTACAGAGATCCCTATGGAGATAAAGAAGAATGAGTGTAAAGGAAATTCAGGGCAGCAAGAGACAGTGTAAGGACTGAAGTGTCTTCCATACTGTGATGGAAAGAACAGCATCAACCCTAAAAGCAAAGGAACAGACAGCTCCAGCATCTGCTGCTACAGCAGGAGTAGGTAAGGTTTCTTTTTCATCTGTGAAATTAACAACTAAGAGTTTCTTGCAATTAATGAGGAAGGATTTCCTAATTAAGATTTGCAGCCTAAAGGGAGAATCTGGTTCTAGATGAAGAAAGAAAGATAATTATAAAAACAAAAATATAGTATGAGCCAGATCCTCACCATCTGCTGATTCAAGTTGGCAAATCTCCATTTAGTACAACTACCTTGGTTTATACTGGGCTGCAACTTCAGTCTCCTGCATCAAGTCAAAACATATGTACTATTGGTTAAAATGCTTATTTTTGTTTGTTCTTTTCTTGAGGTCCTGTTTACATCAAGGAAAGATCTGCAGATTACACCAGGAGTTAACCACAGCTTTCCCAAAAGCTCTCATCTGACTTGAGGCCAAGTAAGTCTACTAAACTCAGCAAAGTTAAGGTTCTCTTTACTTTTTTTTCTCAACAGTGGAAATATGC